CAATCAGATCAACTTACGTCATAATGTATTAAAACATTTTTTAACAGATTTAAATCAAATAAACATGCTTTTTAAGATCGTGTTTTAAAACATTTGCCATCCCTAGTTTGCCCACCTATTCTATAGAACATCCGTTTACTCTACACAGTTGGCACCAAAATATTACAATAAAGAAGTGACTTTCCAATCATAATGCCAATTTAGTTGCTAGTCATAAGCATTAAAAGTAGGAAACCAATTATTTATTACTATGCACAAGACAATAAAAGTACTAAAAATGTTATCAATACAAGTAATATATTTGCAAAAGTTTAATAAAGTAACAATTATGATTATTACATATTATCGTAATAATACTATTACTAGAGTTTGCTACGGAATTTTATCATAACAGCAGTCATAGGGAGATCACTACACCAGTACCTGCTGCAGGGTTGGGAGGTCAAGTGGAACCCTGCAATTCAGGTAACTTAAATCTTTATATTAAAGCCAGCCTGCGTTATGCAGTGTGGAAGACCACCGACTGATGCTATGCATCGCGAATTCAACTGATGATGGAGATACCTGGCGCCATCTTGGTGGCTATTTCTGGGAATATAATCCATCTCAGTTTGTACATCAATGCACGATGTATGTTGTATATTTTATGTAAAATCATTCAATAAAGTTCAATACCTGGCACTATCAGCCAGATGCATCCAAAATAGTAAATATAATTGTACAGATGCGTGCAGTGCTTTTTGATCGTGTTAAATATCATTTAATAATTGTTCTTTATTTTCATTTACTTAATTAAATGAATAGATAGTATATTTAATATAAATAAAATAAATCATATAAAAAAAATAAATGTCCTCAATATGTCCTTGAAAATAATGCAAATAATAAAATTTGCTATTTTATGTAATCATTTCTTTATAATTTTTATTCATTAATCTAAAAATCAAAATAGTAGTAAAATTGACTTAGTCTGCTTAGTTGTAAGTAGGCTTAATATGATATTTACTTACTTCAATAACTTCGACAGGTTTGCTCACTAAAATTAAATTATTTTAAACAAAAAAAATAAATACAGAAATATGGTAGATTTTTAAAATAAATACCTTTAGTTTCACTCAAAATCTTTTGTATATTAATTATTTTGCTAGTATACATAAGATCTGGATGTTTTGGCGAATCAATTTGCCATTTTTCATTTTCTTTATCAGCATCTAAAAATTGCTTTTTAATTTCATTATCATCTGATTGTTCCATACATACAATCCACTCTTTAAGCTTATCATGAACTTGCTGAGCGCTTGGCCGTTTATCTAAAGCAGAATCCATACATTCATGAGCCAACTCAATATAGCAACTAGGAGTTCTGGGAGCAAATTGAGGCCGCAGTCCTTCACAAATTTTAATTGCAAGACCATTAAATTCATAACCATCAAAAGGTCTTTGCCCAGTTGACATTTCTGACATAATAACTCCAAACCCGTATATATCAGCAGCTTGAGTAACCTGTCGCCCATTTAAAACTTCTGGTGCAACATACGGCACGACACCATAAACTTGGACTTTTGAATGATCGTCTTTTTTTCTGGATAATCCAAGATCCGCTATATATGATTTTATTTCTCCACTAAGAGTTTGGTCTAGCAAAATATTACCACTGTGAAAGTCACCATGTGTGAACCCTGCCAGATGAATTCGATTTAAATCATGTGTTATATCTTTAAGCTGCTCTAATTTTTTTTTCCATGTAAACTCATTATCACGAAAATGTTGTTTCAAAAATTCATGAAGATTTCCTCTAATGGCATATTGTAATACCATCAAATATTCATTATTTTCATTTTGAGTCAGTCCATATATTTCAAGTTCACTACCTCCTAATCTACATTGCATGTGAGTTTTGAACTTGAAAAGTATGAATAAAATTTAATATTATATAGCAAACTTATAATAAAGCAAATGATTTAGTTTACCTCAGTTAAAAAATTAGAACTAGTTTGAGAACCAGGCAATGTTTTAAGAGCGACTTTACAGCGTTTGCGTGATCGTGTATAACCCACTTCATCATTACCTGCGAGTATTCGTTTTCCATATAACCAAACGGCTGAATATACTGTGCCGAATCCCCCTTTACCAATAGTATCTATATTTTCTAACATATTAAACGGAATCCATTCGATCACTTTTTCGTATGTAGTAGATTTAAGTTGAAATTCCTTAATACATTTATCAATGTCCTTATCACCGCTTGTTCCTTTGGTCATTTTTGAAGGATCACATAATTGACACCAAGCTGGGTTAGTGTTGTCCCGTTCACAATTTTTGCACATTCCATTGATAGGATTTCTTTTGTCATTAAAAAAATCGATTGCTATCATGTATTGACCGGTTTCTGTATTTTGGGTCAGTCCATGTATTTTGTATTTCTCTATGTAATTTTTAAACTTAAAAAAAAATATATGCATTGGCAAACTAAGCAGTATTGCGACTAGTCTATATAAAATAATTTTAACTTACTTTTTCAAGGTTCAAAGCGCTTATTTGTGTACAATTTAAATTTATGAGTTCAACAGTAGATATTTTGCGTGACCGTGTAAATTTTTCCGATTCACCTTCAATCTTTCGTATACCACTTGACCAGGTTGCCATAAACATTAAATCAGATTCGTTGATTTCTTGATCAGATTCTTTAATCTCTGCATCAGATTCTTCATTACTTTCTAAATCAAATTCTTTAATTTTTTGTAGATTAATTAGTTTATCGAATGGAATCCATTCAATAACCTTCTCATATTTTTCAGCTTTGATTTGAAAATATTTGATGAAATTATCAATCTCTTCTTTTTCACTTTTCCATTCTAGAGTTATTTTCAATGGATCACAGGATTGACACCAAGCAGGAGAAGTGTTGCATTTTTTACAGTGCTTGCATTTCCCATTTGAAACATTTCTTCTAGAACTAAATTCATCTGGCATTACCATTATATATTCCTTTGTTTTCTCATTTTGGCTAATTCCATATAAAATATTTCCTTCAATTTTCATGTAATTTGTAAGCTTAAAGTTTAAATATGTTAATAATGTTATAATTGTTATATATGCATTATGATATGTAAGTAATACTTTAGCTTACTTTCTCTATAAAAAATTCGCTTTTTTGAGAATTATGCAATATTTTAAGGTTAACTCCACACGATTCAATACGTGACTGTGTATAGTCTGTGCTTTTAATTATTTTGATACCATCTGGCAAAGTAGCCATAGATATTGTATCTGATTCCTCTTCTTTAACCTTTAGAAAATTATTGAGTTTATCATATGGGATCCATACAATAGCCTTCTTAACTTTCATTTGAAGAGCCTTGATTAAATCATTAATTACTAAGCTTTCACTTGTCCATTTTTGGGTTATTTCCCATAGATCACAATATTGACACCAAGAAGGTAAAGCATTGCTTTGTCCACATTCCATGCATTTTCCATATGAAGATTTTTTTTTAGAGTTATACTCATCCGGTAATACTATTATATATTCCTTTGTTTCCTTATTTTGGCTAATTCCATATACTATATTTCCTTCAAGTTGCAAATAATATATAAGCTTTAAATTTAAATGTGTTAATGTTACGATATATTATATGTATGATAAACTATGTAAAAAATAATTCAGCTTACTTTTTTTTTTAGAAAAATCACTTTCTTTTGTTTCAAAGATTCTTTTGCCGTCTAGCCAGGTTGCCATAAACACTGTTTCTGATTCCTCTTCTCTAATCATTTGCCAATTATCCAATCTATTGAATGGAATCCACTCGATCATATTATCATATTCTGTGACTTTAATTTGAAGCTCTTTAATATAATTATCAATATCTTTATTTTCGATTGTCCACTTTTGAGTTTCTTTCAAGGGATCACATAATCGACACCATTCTGGAGAATTGTAAGGACGTTTACATTTTGTGCATTCTCCATAAAAATTACGTCTTTATCATGAAATATAATTTATTAATTTTTATTAATTCGTTTACAATATTTGGCTTAGACTTATAAAACAAAATAGTAAATATATTAGTTGCACACTAACCTTTTCATTTAATCAATTAGCGATGGGTGTCATAATTTGATGATGAATGATTATAAAATGATGAGTTTACAAATAAATGTAAATGGACTTGTCTACTTACTTACTATTTAACATAATTAAAAAATAATATTTAAATGAGGAACGCTTATTGAGACATTTATTTTATAACTAAAAATTTGTTTATACCCACAAGCTAATAATTTAATTTTCATGTTCACGAATTGATTGAGAAATTTATTTATCAGACATCTGATTAAATTCTAATTTTATAAATAAACCTTGATACTTACTCTCTTTAATATGTATTAAATAATAAACATAATTGTGAGATAATTAACACATATGATGGTAAATTGCAAAATTATTATGATAATAAAATTTTAAACTAACCTCCTAATTAATTTATTTGATCGTTATAACGTTTATTTATTAAAAATAAAAAAAAAAGTCATCAGTAACAACCCACGCTTTTTTTATATACTTATTGGCACGGGATTTTACGTCAGATCCATACAATAACTACAATTAACTCTCTATAATCACACAGTCGGGATGATAGTAACTTTTTTTTAAAAAATGTGCTTATAAAAAGATTTTGCTTATATAGAGGTTTTTTGTATATATTTTTAGTACAGTAAATCCTCCATAAGTGCACCATCTATAGGTGCACAAACTCTCTAAATGCACGCCAAACTGTATAGATGACCTCCATAAATGCATTTGTTCTTATAATTCCCTAAGTGAATAATGTTAATGTTGGTCCCAAGCGCGTGCACTTGTAGATGTTTTACTGTAGTTTGTTTTACAAAATTAGGTGCTTATATAGAGGTGGATTATTTAGGATGTGATTATAGAGAGGGTTGACTATATACGTATCAATAACTCACCGGATAATAATTAAAGTTACTGTTTTGCATACATGATTAAGTATGATCATGAAAATCTTAAGGCAAGACGTGGTAAGCAAAAGAAGTGGAACTATTCCGTATCCGTATCTCACAGTGTTTGTGTAATAAATGACCTATTTAAATAATATTACGAAATATGAAATTTGAACAGAAAAGTTAATAATAAATTTGTACAAAAATATATAGACGTCTCTAACGTTCTTGTTACAATAAGATCTCTTTATTTAATCGGAAATTACTAGTGACAGCGGAGTATTCTGTAAAGATAATACTAGATTATAACGATAAATTACTTACTTGAATGATGATCTGTGGAATATTCCTAAAAAAAATATCAAAGAATGCTCCCCACATGATCGCAGCTCCAGATATATGCATAAATAAATTAATGATTTTGATCTGCTCATATTTCTTTATAAACATTGGTACATCTTTCAAAATCGTCAAATATTCATAATCAGTTGCTACTAAAATAATTAGCATAACTAATAAACTTTGATATTTCATATCCAATTTTTTAAAATTAACTCTTATAACAGGATTTTCAGTTCCATTATAAATGACATAGATGGCTATACAGTAGTTTACGATTAACGAAACACTCAGGAAGAACCCACTTTAAATCATATTTTTTATGCATGAGTTAAAAATAAAGGTGCCAATGATTTAACACGAATTTAATACAATAGAAACAGTTGATCAGAAATACCTTAGAAAGTGAGAATTGTGTGCAACAAAGAGAATCGAAAGAATAAAATTAAGGATAATTAACCCAAGTCTTAATATTGAGGAAATTATTGCCTCCAATTTTTTTGATTTTAACTTTTTATATATGATAAAAATTTTATTAATTTCATGATAAAGAGCTCTTAACAGAAAAAAAATTTGATAAAACCTCACCTTATAACTAAGTATACGAGATAATAGACATAGTATTATGTAAGTCACAATCACGGCAACTATTTGAATCCCATAACTATCCCATGAATTAGTTACTTGAGATATCATAAAGCCATAATCCTGGTCCAGATCATTTGTCAGACCCGAAGAGAAGGTGGTTATATTCTTGTATTTGATCATATCGTTTAAAGCTGATACTACATTTCCATCTATACGGAGTATACGGAGATGAATGATTATTCTAGTGACATTCTCGAAATTCGGATCTATAATTAAATTAGAATTCTGTATTGGCACTTTATCAATAAATTCTTGTTTTAGAGCATCAAAGTAATTTGATCGATTAGTTTCAGAAAAATTGTTAAATTTTTCGGAGGCAGCTGAAGTAAGTTGGATTAAGCCTGTAACGTCCACATCTACAGAAATTTGTGAAAATCATTGAAGAAATTTTTTTATAAATGCGCATAAATATAATATGCATTACCTGAGTGTTTAATCCTGGATTCTAAATGATATAAAAGTTTAGAAGATAAAATATATATAACGTTATATTAAATTTTATTATCGAAAAAAAAGACATTATTAAATGTTACCTGATTTAAGAATCCAAACTTCTCTTTCAATTCCTCTTAAAGTTTTATTATTAAAATCTCTAGCTTTAGTAAAATTTTTATCCATTTTCACATAGTATTACTCGTTATACTCATTAAATGTGCTATGAATGATTGTTATATCGACAACCATCCCATCATTACTAAGTTTACAGAACCTAGAGTTTGTTGAAACAATTTGTCTAATGCTGTGATTAGAGATTTTGTAGATGGTGATGTTGCCAGTTGACAAATAAACGGGCGAAGTGAATTTTATACTTATTTTGGTCGTTGATGAATCGACACTAGAATTAATGGGCGGAGTAACATTGGCAATCATTATATTACCGTAACTATTATAATTATTCACTAAATAGATAATAACGAATGGTAAAGAAGTAATTATGGAAAAGAAAGAATATTTATGAGTAAGTATTTTGTTTATGATTTTAATTCATCGAATATAGATCATCCTTATACTCACCATCTAAATTAATGCGAATGAAATAATTAATGGTAAATAATTAAGTATTTATGAATAAAATGAATATTTATGAATAAGTGTCCATCGATTTATAAATCAACTTTATACTTACGCACTAAATTAACGCGAATGAAATAATGAATGATAAATAAGTAAATTTATGGATAAGAACGAATACTTATGAATAAGTATTATATTCATCCATCGATTTATAAATTATCTTTATGCTTACCCACTAAATTAATGCGAATGAAATAATGAATAATATGAATTTATGAATAAGAAAGAGTATTTATGAATAAGTATTTATGTTTATGATTTTAATTCCATCGATTTATAAATTATCTTTATACATACGATCTAAATTAATGTGAATGAAATAATGAATTGTAAATAATATAAATTTATGAATAAGAAAGAGTATTTATGAATAAGTACATCAATTTATAAATTATCTTTAGAATTTTATCATTTAGTGACGCACCCCATAAGTTCTGGTGTAACGTGAAATCAAAACAAACCAGGGTAAGCACTAATATAAGGTTAGATTAGATTGTAGGTAAACGTTATTATACCCGAAAATTTGCAATGAATTTTTTTTGTTAGAACGCAAAAGGTGGTTTCATAAGCAAAATTATGAGTTACAAGCGATTTTTTCAAACCATCGCTATTTTTTTCGATTTCACATTACACCTGATCTTACGATCTGATTGGTCAATCAGGTGGGTGCGTTACAATGCACATGCGCTAAATTATAAAACCCTTATCTTTATACTTACCCACTAAATTAACGCGAATGAAATAATGAATGATAAATAAGTAAATTAATGAATAAGAACGAATACTTATGAATAAGTAAGTATATTATCTTTATACTTACGGTCTAAATTAATGCGAATGAAATAATGAATTGTAAATAATATGAATTTATGAATAAGAAAGAGTATTTATGAATAAGTATTTTTATGTTTATGATTTTAATTCCATCAATTTATAAATTATCTTTATGCTTACCCACTAAATTAACGCGAATGAAATAATGAATGATAAATAAGTAAATTTATGAATAAGAACGAATGCTTATGAATAAGTATTATATTCATGATTTAAATTCCATCGATTTATAAATTATCTTTATACTTACCATCTAAATTAATGCGATGAATTGTAATAAATATGAATTTATGAATGGTAAATAATTAAGTATTTATGAATTTATGAATAAGTATTATATTCATGATTTTAATTCCATCGATATGTAAATTATCTTTATACATACGATCTAAATTAATGCGAATGAAATAATGAATTGTAAATAAATATGAATTTATGAATAAGTATTTTATGTTTATGATTTTAATTCATAAATTATCTTTATACTTACCCACTAAATTAACGCGAATAAAATAATGAATGATAAATAAGTAAATTAATGAATAAGAACGATTACTTATGAATAAGTATTTTATTCATGATTTTAATTCCATCGATTTATAAATTATCTTTATACTTACACACTAAATTAATGTAAACGAAAAATAAATAGTAAATAAGTATTATGTTGTCCATGATTTTACAGTAATTTCATAAATTTATAAATCATCTTTATACTCACCCACTAAATGAAATAATGAATTGTAAATAAATATGAATTTATGAATAAGTATTATATTCACGATTTTAATTCCATTGATTTATAAATCACCTTCATACTTACACTCTAAATTAATGCGAATGAAATAGTGAATGGTAAATAAGAGTATTTATGAATTTATGAATAAGTATTTATATTCATAATTTTAATTTCATCAATTTATATGTCATCTTTATACTCACTCCCTAATTTAATGTGAATGAAATAATGAATTGTAAATAAGTATTTATGAATTTATGAATAAGTATTTATATTCATAATTCTAATTTCATCAATTTATAAGTCATCTTTATACTCACTCCCTAAATTAATGCGAATGATATAATGAATTGTAGATAAGTATTTATGAGTTTATGAATAAGAAAGAGTATTTATGAATAAATATTCATGTTTATGATTTTATTCCATCGATTTATAAATTATCTTTATACTCACAGTCTAAATTAATGCGAACGAAATAATGAATGGTAAATAAAAGTATTTATCAATTCATGAATAAGTATTTATATTCATAGTTTTAATTTCATCAATTTATATGTTTTTTTTATACTCACACTCTAAATTAATGCGAATGAAATAATGTATTGTAAATAAGTATTTATGAATTTATGAATAAAAAGAGTATTTATGAATAAATATTATATTCATGATTTTTAATTCCATCGATTTATAAATCATCTTTATACTTACCCCCTAAATTAATGCGAATGAAACAATGAATTGTAAATAAATATTTATGTTTATGATTTTAATTCCATCGATTTATAAATCTTTATACTCACCAACTAAATTAATGCGAATGAAATAATGAATAGTAAATAATTAAGTATTTAAGATGTCAATGATTTTACAGTAATTTCATAAATTTATAAATCATCTTTATACTCACAACCTAAATTAATGCGAATGAAATAATGAATGCAAATAAGAATAATTATGAATTTATGAATAAGTATTTATATTCGTAATTTTAATTCCTTTGATTTATAAATCATCTTTATACTTACCCACTAAATTAATGCGAATGAAATAATGGATGAGTATTTATTATGAGTATTCGTGAATAAGAATTTATATCCATGATTTTATAGTAATTCCATCGATTTATAAATCATATTTATACACACCCACTAAATTTATGTGAATGAAATAATGAATGGTAAATAAGTAGTATTTATGAATTTATAAATAAATATTTATTTTTATAATTTTTTATTTCATCGATTATAAATTAATGCGAATTAAATAATGAATGGTAAATAATTAAATATTTAGAATTTATTAATATTTATATTCATAATTTTAATTTCATTGATTTATAAATCATCTTTATACTTACCAACTAAATTAATGCAAATGGAATAATGAATGGTAAATAAGTGAGTATTTATAATTTATGAATATTCAGAATAAGAATTTATGTCCATGATTTTACAGTAATTCCATCGATTTATAAATCATCTTTATACTCACTCCCTAAATTAATGTGAATGAAATAATGAATGGTAAATAAATAAGTATTTATGAATTTATGAATAAGAAAGAGTATTATTTATGAATAAGCATTAATTAAGGGAGTGAGTATAAAGATGACTTATAAATTGATGAAATTAGA